TAAGTATTGAGTGCATAACTGAACATAATTACTTGAAGGTTGACTTTTTTGTATTAAAACACTTTTACTTTTTTGTATTAAAACACTTTTCTTTTATTGGTTGGATGAAATATGCTAATTTTTTGAGATAGGGATTTTTGATTTTTCTTTACTTTTTTGCCAAAATCATCAATATTAAAACAAGAAAAGGTTTGAACTACTTCAGTTGATGTGCAATGAATCTAAAATATACGGTATGAAAGTTTAATGTTTATCAGTACATTACAGAAAATAATGAACTTTATCACAATATGCTAATTTTTTGAGAAGGACCTGTATATCACGTTGACCTTTTTCAGATCCAAGCAGAAATGTTTCTTGTAAAGCTGCATTATGTTTGGATATTTTCCAGGGGTTTAATTTTCCAAAGACTGTGAAAGAAACACCTGTGCACAAAAGTCAGCAGCATTTAAAAATTAAACTTACAAAGGTGGGAAAAAAAATACATTTTCTTATTTTGTCCTAATCAAATTTAATCTTATCCACAGATGAAAAATATCAAATAAAAGTTTATCCTGTTAAATTTTGCTGCCATCATCAATCGATGGTTTCCCTTGGGAATTAAAAAAAATATTTTAAAATTATTGTATGTTTCAGTTGCAACATAGATTTATGTATAGTATATACTGTATACTTGTGTACATGTCAGTGATAATTTWTCTGCAGTGATAAAATATCTAACAGTCCAGCCAGGATTTTTTTTTAGATGATTGTTGTGGCCTAAAATATTTGATTTTGTTGCAGCTTTCTTTTTTAAGTTGCTGTTTGTAGCTTCATTTTATTTATTTATTATATTATATTTATGTTAACTAGCCACTAACAAAATTACTTAAAAAATCACCATATGACTAATATAAACAAAGTAAAGCTGTTCTTATGTGAAGACCCAAACTTAATGAAGGAATTCAGTGAGTTTGTTGAACTTGACAAATAAGAGGCTCGGTGCGAACCACTGTTATTTTTTATKTCTTAGTTAAACATTTATTTTGTCGACTGTTCATAACACAGTGAACTTAAATTCTTCTGACAGGTTGTCTCTAWTTTTAGGGAACACTTTCACCTGCCMGCAGGTTTTTATTTTTATTTTGTTTCCATTTAGGAAGGTGGAACTACTMGCATTGTTGCTGCTCACTTCTAGGCGGGTCATTACCCAGCTGACTGAAAAGGAACGCACCTAAATATTCTGTTTTACAGTACAAAGTGTTTGACAAGCAACAGTTTTGTCAGTGTTTTTCACCTCTTTAAAGYAAGCTTGAGCAAACTGACTTGCACATATTTTAGTTGAAACATTTGATGGCAAAAAAAATTTTTCTGGCATCGAACAGGATTTTGTCCTGCAGGCTTGAGATTCAAGGAAGTGAAACTGCACAGTGGAATAGAGTGATTCAATTTGTGTAAAGGTTTACAGCGTGTTCTTTTATTGTGTGTAACTGTGTGTTCTATGACTTTGTATTTTTAGCGTTTTTATAATGTAAAGCACTTAGAAATGCCTTGTTGCTGAAATATGCTATACAAAAAAATTCATTGATTTTATTTACATAAAGCCATCTAAAGCACTGCCCCAGTTTTCTAATCGTTTCTAACCTAAGAAAGGTACCATATTTATTCAAGTATAATGCATAAAATTTTATCCATAAAATCATCCATAAAGTTGGGGGGGTAGTATTATACTCAGATAAATATTTTTACTTATGTATTTTAACTGAAATATCGGCAAAATTTTTGAGTCCGGAAATGAGACCGCATCGTAAAAAGCAGTTGAAACGAGCTCACCTCTGACACTCCTCTGTGCTTTAGAGCAAGATAGTAACAGATCCAAGCAGGCGACATGATGTGAAAAAGGGGGGGAAAGCAGTCCTGCAGCTCAGTAATGATAATAAACTAATGACATTAGCATGTGACCGAGCCGCTGCTGGAACAACAACAACAGACACACGTCCGTCTGTAATGGCTGCCATCTACCGGTGTTTGAAAAAAGTTTGTATCCCTGAAAAAAGTTTCCCCACCAGAGGGGGCGCTTGCGAGTAGGAAGTAATCTGGTTGTATC